TACCACTACTTGTGGAGATCAGTATAGAGTTCCTCAAAAACCTCAAAATAAAAAGTCCTTTCAACCCAGCTACTCTCCTTCTAGGAATCTTCCCAAAAGAGTTATTGTCATCATATTACAGATACATGGATACCCACGTTTATAAGACACAATACATAATAGCTTGGAAACAGCCTTAATGCTCATCAAAAGATGAATGGATAAAGAAAATGTGGCATATAGACGCAATGGAATTTTACTTTGCATAAAGGAGAAACTTGAGGCATTTATAGTCAGATGGATGCACCTGGAGACCACAATGTTAAGTGAAAAAAATCAGGCACAAAGCTGAAATATCGCATGTTTTCTCTTACATGAAACACCCAAAATATAAAGAGCAAACTAAAGGATAGATAGTGGGGAGATCTTTTTCCAATGTGAAGGGGAACAAGAAATGGAGAGAGAAGGAAGGGAAAGGGGACTAAAAACATAGAATTGAAAAAAATGGAAACAGGGCTTTTTCAAATGAGAAGAGAAATAAGAGTTGAAGTGAGCAGGGAGGGATAAGAGGGGAAGGGGATAGAAACTAAGATGCGTTATGTGCTCCCCTATATAAATGCAATCATTCTATTCTGCAAATATGTACTCAGAAGAAAATAATAATAACACACAAAGTATAGATCACTATAATACAGTTGAGGTTTTCGCTTCAATGATAAAACAATAAATATGAATGGTTTACTATTTAATTATTATGTTAAGTCAGAAAGCGCTGGGTAGTAAGATCCTGATTTATCTAACAACCTTTCTACATGATTTTCTTCTGTAAGATCAGGTCATTGTGTGCATTATATAATGCTTGCACATTATCACGGTACCAAATTCTGCCAAGATCATGTCCCTGTCCTCTGGAAAGTAAAGCAAAAGCTGGAAGCACTGCCCTTCCCTCCCATGACCTCTTCCCCTACTCTATCGCATCTCATCCTATTCCCTTGTCGTAGTGGATTAGCAGATGGACACAGAAGTTATCTCAGAGTAAAAAACTAGAACACTTTATGATTGGCCCACCCCAAAGTTACTGTAGCACTTACCAACATCTCCATAAACATACAGGCCCCTTGGAGGTTTGCTCCTTGAAAAAAGCTGAAAATTAAGAACAAATTATAAATCTCCACCATGAAAATAATTAAATGTAGTCACATATATTATGTTCCTAACTATGCTCTCTACAGGATTTGGAAAGACTATTACGCAATGAGTAAGGAAAAACTTGTTAAAGTCTGTGAACTTCTTTTATTTCTTCCTTGCAATGTGAGGTCCAAAAGAGGAGGCCCTGCTCGGTCGCCCTGCCCTGAGCTAAGTGTCTCTGACCAGCAGCAGGGAAGGAAGAGGCTGGAGCTTCTCCTGTGCCCCAGCAAGCAACCCAATCTGTCCAAATTCATGTTTCCATTCTCACTCTTGAACTACATATGTCAGAATTCTACAAGTAAGGAATTTAACACACATACACAAATACACACTTGCAGTAAATATAATAAATGAAACAGAGTATTTTGGAATTTAAAGTACACAGTTTGAGAGTCTGAAATGTTATCATCTCTTTATTCCGAGAAAGCAACTTGATGACTTTGTCTTCTTAGCTTTCTCATTTGAAAATGGCAAATACAAACACGAGCACTTTGTAGACTAATTAACGTAGTTTAGGCATTTA